TAGGGGTAGCCATGGCGACGACAGCGACGCAGTGCAAGCAGTAGGGAAAGAGCTCGCAGTGGCAGTGGGACTGTGCTCACCAGGCAGGGCAGGTCATGCAGCTATGCAGAAAGGCGGCTCAGCGACCGGGCGGCTCGGGTGCACAGCGGCTCGGCTCCCGGGCGGCTCGGCGGCTGGGCGGCTCGGGCGCAGGGCGGCTCGGCTCCCGGGCGGCTCGGCGGCAGGGCGCCTCGGGTGCAGGGCGGCTCGGCTCCCGGGCGGCTCGGCGGCAGGGCGGCTCGGGTCCCGGGCGGCTCGGCGTTGGGCGGCTCGGCTCCCGGGGCGGCTTTGCTGCTGGGGCGGGTCGGCCGGGAGATGCAGGGGCGGGGCCGTCAGGTGCAGCGGCGGGTCGACCGGTGCAGCGGCGGGCCGGCAGGTGCAGCGGCGGGCCGGCAGGTGCAGCGGCGGGGCCGTCAGGTGCAGCGGCGGGCCGTTGGGTGCAGCGGCGGGCCGGCAGGTGCAGCGGCGGGCCAGCAGGGCCGCGTCAGAGCCGGCGGCGGGGCCGCGTCAGTGGAGGCGGCGGGGCCGCGTCAAGCAGGTGACGGGGCCGCGACGAAGCGGGCGGCAGGGCCGCGTCAGAGCCGGCGGCGGGGCCGCGTCAGTGGAGGCGGCGGGGCCGCGTCAAGCAGGCGGCGGGGCCGCGATCTGGAGGGGTAGCGGGGCCGCGTCCGAGGGACAGCGGGGCCGCGAGGGAAATGGCGACCCGAGGGGTCGCTAAAAAAAAGGCGCGCCTCGGGGCGCGCTTCGGTGGGCCCTAAAAAAAAACGGTCCTAAGGAAGGACCCGCTCTATACCATGTGAAACAAGTTAACAGGAATGAAAATGACTAAGGAAAGATTGGGTACAAATACAACCCTAGAAACCCTGTACCCCATATGTGCTACCCCACTATAGCCTACAGCAAATATGTCATATAAATCTGACATCGGGTCCGGGAAGGACGGTGCCGGGGCCGCCTAGGTGGCATCGGGGCCGGGAAGGGCGGCGTTGACGCCGCTAGGGCGGCTTACGGGGTCGACGGGTGGCTCGAAGGGCCGCAAGGGCGGCACGCAGGGCCGCAAGGGCGGCAAGCGCGGCTGACGGGCGGCGCAAGAGGCCGCTAGGGCGGCGCGCGGGGTCGGTGGGGCCGCTGTAAGAGGCGGCGACGAGGCCGCTGTGAGAGGCGGCACCGGGCCGTAAGGGGAGGCGGCGACGAGGCCGTAGTTGGAGGGCGGCGACAGGCCGTTGATGGCGGTACGACGGGGCCGCGAAAGAGGCGGCGCGACGGGGCCGCTGAGGGGTGGCGCGGCGGGCCAGAAGGGCGGCGCGACGGGCCGTAAGGGCGGCGCGACGGGCCGTAAGAGGGCCGCTAAGGGCGGCGCGACGGGCCGTAAGAGAGCTGCTAAGGGCAACGCGACGGGGCGGTGAGGGGCCTAGTGAGGGCGCGACGGTAGGGAGAGCACACGGAGCGCGACTCGGGCCTGAGTGGAGCGCGCTCCGGGCAGGAACAAAAATTCGTAGTGGTGGGCCCTAGGAATCGTTCTCGGTAGGGAACCTGCTCGATACCATGAGAAGAAACGAGAATGAATGAACTATGAAAGAGTTGGGTACAATTACTAACCCTAATTGGGTTGTACCCCTTATGGGCTACCCCACTATAGCCTACACAAATGCATAAGATATAATGTTCTGACAAGACGGTCAAACCGAGCGGACCAATCAAACCATGGAGCAGCTGATCAGGACAAACTGCCCCGACCCGGCCCGCTGGGAAAATTCTCTCGCAATGTTGTAGTTCGCCTTCAACAACGCGCCGTCCAGCACGACTAATTACTCCCCGTTTTTCCTGAATTACGGGATGGAACCGATGGTTCCTACAGCGACTTCCCTCGACAACCCGGTCCCGAGGTCACAAACTTTCGTGACGGAACTACAGGAAACCCGAGAAAAAGCCGCCGACGCAATTCGCAAGGCGGATATCACTTCCCGCAAATACACCGATCTTCTACGCCGGGAACTCGTCTTGACCACTGGGCAATTAGTGCTCCTTGACACGAAGAACCTGCAACTGCCCGGCCCGTCAAAACTACGGCCACGATTTTGTGGGCCATTCAAGATTCTCAAGATGGTGACACCTGTCACCGTGAAGCTGTTGCTACCCGACGACTGGCGAATTCATGACGCCTTCCACGTCAGCCTCCTTCGCAAGCTCGTGCCAGCCACGACCGACATCGCACGTCAGCAAGCTGCCCCGACAGCACGACCTGTTCCGGAGCGACCCTTGACCCTTCGAAAATCTTGGCTCATCGGGTTCGTCTTGACGCAGCTGGCCGACACGTGGATTTTTTAATCCGCTGGACTGATCGCACCAGTGTGGACGACACGTGGGTGCCATCCGCCTCGCTCGACGCCTCGCCACTTGTTGGTCATTACTTGGCGCGAAATCGTGTTTCGGACCTTGACCGCCTTTCTTAAGGGGGGGGGGGGGGGGGGGGGGGGGGGGTTGTGTAAGGAATTTTCCCGAATTCCTTATCGGGGTTGACTGCTTCGCGTACAACCCGATTTTCGGAGCTCGCACGTTCGGCCGATTTCAACGCTGCCGAGGCTCCTCGCGTCGCCTTCGGCATTTCCATCGCCAAACTTGCACCCAACCTCGTCTCCCGAGGTTTCCTCTCAGATAGGCTAGCCCTACATTAGTCTGTGCATTCATTGTATTCTCAGTTCATTCAGTCCCAGCCTCGTTATTCATTTACATGCGCACTCTCTTTTACAACTCATAACACCGTGTGTACTTGACATAGCAAAATTAGCAGTCATGAATGCTCTCGGCTTGCATAGTTTATGCTGGGCTACCAGCCTCCCCTGATTTGACGAAGAGTGTACGAAAGCGCTGAATGTGCAGATGTGGTAACCTGTGCAAAAAAACGAAATGCGAACGTGATATCGAGTCAAGTTTGCGACAGGTGACGGGCAGGCTCACTGGCATCGAAAATGGAGGCGATTCAAATTCGTACCCCTACCAAGGCACTTGCGTCGGTGAACCGAGAACAACACAGTGCTGGTATATTTGGCTCTTCGCTTCAACGATTGCGAACAAAGGTGTTTTGCAGTGGTAACTTCGAAGAAACGCAATTTCTTGTGATCTTGAACACAACGAATGTGTCGAACTCAAGATTTGAGTACTGAGGGGGTGTCTAGCTCGTGCATTACTGTTCGTAAGCCCGCTCAGTTACCACATTTTTTGTTGTAACACTGTATTGAACGTGTCCTGCGGACACAATCAGCTTTCGTTCACAAAACGGCACGCCCCCTGCACGTACCTCGAGTCGTCTGACTCACGTTACTGGAATCAGCGGGGACACGAACAAGGGTACTTCACCGCATCATGGCCACTACAGTAGTGCCCCATGTATCGCTTGCAAAATTTTGCCAGTAGCCCGCTACACTCGCCAACACCCCCCCCGCCTGCACAAAAATTCATTAGCTATGATAGACAAGGGAAACCGTTACCTCGTTTTGAACCCAATAAGAGCACTGTTGATTCGTGTGGCGGAGAACGTGTCCGCGAACCTGAAATTACAGGTAGGTGGGACTCAACTCACAATGCATTCGTTTATAGGTACAGTGAAATTTTTTTAACCTCGAGACGTGTGTTGGCACTAAAAACCCCGAAATGAACGAACTGGACACGCCCTGATTATGATTTGAACCACTTCCTGTTTCGTTCCCACTCCAAGCACCTGTCGACAAGCGTGTGTCAATCAGATCACAGTAGACGTACCGTGAGGAAAGGTGACCCGAATCGCCTCTACGAAAATCAGTACGCACTACGACGCCGATTCTCGTAGCCATTCGTAAAATCTTCCGCGCGTCGTGTCCTCTCGTCTCCTTCCTGGCCCGCCTGTCGTTTTGCCTCCTTCCCTCTCGAAATATCTAAGCCTCGCCATCACTCAGCACTCACTGCAGATCGATTTACATCGCGCCGCTGCTGAGACTCTTCGAGTCCCGCGGAAACGCGATGTCTAAGAAACCCTAATTATAGGTAAGACTCCCTATCGTCCCAGGTTGTACCTATCAGAATATATATGTAACTGCCTGTAGCTGTAGTTAGTGTAGTTATTATAAACTTTGTTTGGTGGTGCACCTTCTTTGTTCCTTTGCTATATGTTCTTGCAAACCTATAGTGAAGCCCTCCTTCTCCTTTCCAACTTTCTCGACATTCATCAACCCTAAACCTAAGCTACTAAGAAACTAACTAGCAATGGCTCCTAAGCCTTAGTCATGCTAGTATCTCAATATGGTATTCAGAGCAGGTACCTTCCTGCTGCCTTCTTGCTTCCGCTGCCTATCGTCCTCCCGCGCGCCTCGGGCGCGCGGCGTAGGCGCACGGCGATTTTCTGCCCGCCGTGTGCTCGGGGCGCACGGCGGGCTTCTGCCCACCGTGCGCCCTGGGCGCGCGGCGTCTTCCTGCCCCGCGCGTGGCCTGCCCTCACGCCGCCTGCGCGCATGCCTCACGTCCACGCGCGGGCCTGTTTTGCCCGCCCGTACCCTCCTCTTCGCGGCGCCCTGCGAGGCGCCGCTCCTGCTCGTCGCGACGCACCTGCGGGACCTGGGCGTCGCCGCTCCTGCTCGTCGCAACGCCCCTGCAGGACCCGCACGGTGTCGCCTTGCTCGTCGCGACGCACCTGCGGGACCCGCGGGGCGTCGCCCCTCCTCATCGCGGCGCCCCCTGGACGCCGCCCCTAATCGTCGCGGCGCCCCTGGGGCGTCGCCCCTGCTCGTAGCGGTACCCCTTGGGCGCCGTCCCTGCTCGTCACGGCGCCCTCCCCCCTGGCCACCGCCTCTGCCTCACCTGCGCCCGCGCCAGAATTGCAGCCGCGCGCGGGCCTACCTTGCACCAGCGCCACCCATGGACCTCAGCAGCCGCCCCTGGACCCCGCGAGCCGGCCCAGCAGCAGCCCAAGGCGCCGACCCTACAGCTGTATGCGCCACCGCTCCTGGACTTGGTATGCCTGTGCTGTCTGTTGCCGCCCGTTGCTGCCCGTGCCTGTGCTGCCTGTTGCTGCCCGTGCCTGTGCTGCCTGTTGCCGCCCGTTGCTGCCTGTGCCTGTGCTGCCCGTTGCTGCCTGTTGCTCCCCGTGCCTGTGCTGCCCGTTGCTGCATGTTGCTGCCTGTGCCTGTGCTGCCCGTTGCCGCCCGTTGATGCCCGTGCCTGTGCTGCCCGTTGCCGCCCGTTGCTGCCCGTGCCTGTGCTGCCCGTTGCCGCCCGTTGCTGCCCGTGCCTGTGCTGCCCGTTGCTGCCCGTTGCTGCCCGTGCCTGTGCTGCCTGTTGCCGCCCGTTGCTGCCCGTGCCTGTTGTTGCTGCCCGTGCCTGTGCTGCCTATTGCCGCCCGTTGCTGTCTGTGCCTGTGCTGCCCGTTGCTGCCTGTTGCTGTCTGTGCCTGTGCTGCCCGTTGCCGCCCGTTGCTGCCCGTGCCTGTGCTGCGCGTTGCCGCCTGTTGCTGCCCGAGCCTGTGCTGCCTGTTGCTGCCTGTTGCTGCCCGTGCCTGTGCTGCCCGTTGCTGCCCGTTGCTGCCCGTGCCTGTGCTGCCTGTTGCCGCCCGTTGCTGCCCGAGCCTGTGCTGTCTGTTGCTGCCCGTTGCTGCCCGTGCCTGTGCTGCCCGTTGCTGCAAGTGCCTGTGCTGCCCGTTGCCGCTCTACTGCTGTCCGCGCCCTTGTGCGCTCTGGTCTGCCTGCGCCTTCGTGCGCCCTACTGCTACCCGCGCCCTCGTGCGCTCTGTTCTGCTCTGTCGCCCCTGTCCCTCCCCCCACCCCCCCCCCCTTCTTCGTCTCCTTGCTGCGCGTGCAGCCGTGGAACGGAGGCTATGGGGGTGGCGGGTATGGGGGTGATGGGTGTGTGTGATCCCCTTCCCCTCCTCCTCCATTCTCTCCCACTGCTGAAGCTGCCGCTGGGGGGGGGGGGGGTGGGTGTGAGGGTGTGGGGGAGCTGGGGGAGAGGTGCTAGGGTTATCGAGGAGTGTGGAAAGGGGGAGTTGGAGGACTGAGGAAGGTTCCAGGAAGCAGCCACATTGGAGCCAGCAGCTTCACCTGCCAGCAGCTTCTCCTCATATAGTCCCTCCTCCTCACTTGCCCTCTCCTTCTGCTGCGCTTGGTGTACCCCTTCAAGGGGTGTCTCTGCATTAGCTTCTGCTGCAGGCAGTTATGGGGGAGTGTCAGAATATATCTGTAACTGCCTATAGCTGTAGTTAGTGTAGTTATTATAAACTTTGTTTGGTGGTGCACCTTCTTTGTTCCTTTGCTATATGTTCTTGCAAACCTATAGTGAAGCCCTCCTTCTCCTTTCCAACTTTCTCGACATTCATCAACCCTAAACCTAAGCTACTAAGAAACTAACTAGCAATGGCTCCTAAGCCTAAGTCACGCTAGTATCTCAATAGTACCTCTGCATTTTGAGCCTTGCAGAGGCTCACAGCCTTCGAATCTTGCTCGTACTAGTTGTGTCAGAGCCTGATTTACGCCTTGAAGTTACATACCGAGTCGCTTACGAATCCTGCAGACCGCCCGTGGCATTCCCCCTTGACGCATTCTTTCCCCTCGTAGCATGCTGGTCCTTCCGTACTGCTTTCCCTTCCCTGGTTCGTACACCCACGCTGTCACTCACCCAGGTTCTGACCGGCCTGTGACCCACCCCAGCTTGTGACGAACCTAGGCTGGTGACTAGCACAGCTTGTGACTTATCTTGCCCGTGATTGACCTACCTTGTGTGACCTAGCTTGTCTGACCTAGCCTGTCTGACCTATCTTGTCTGACCTAGCTTGTCTGACCTATCTTGTCTGACCTAGCTTGTCTGACCTATCTTGTCTGACCTAGCTTGTCTGACCTATCTTGTCTGACCTAGCTTGTCTGACCTATCTTGTCTGACCTAGCTTGTCTGACCTATCTTGTCTGACCTAGCTTGTCTGACCTATCTTATCTGACCTCGCTTGTCTGACCTATCTTGTCTGACCTAGCTTGACTGACCTATCTTGTCTGTACTAGGCTGTCACTGACATACCTGGTGATTGACCTAGCTCATGGCTGCCCTAGCTCATGGCTGCCCTAGCTCATGGCTGACCTATCTTGTGGCTGGCAGCCTAGACATGTGCACAGGGATGAGTCGAGTCGAGTCAACCTCGTGTCTATCAAGCAAGAGTCAAATGTTGTGTCGTTTTGGTAATGTGGCTGTTCATTCACAAAAGATGCGCAAGTGTGGGTCCTTTGCTGGTGGTCCGTACCCAAGGTAAGTGCTTGGGTCGCGACAACATACTCGACTAGCAACGAGTCAGCTACATCTCGTCGAATCATGACTTGGCGAGTCATTGCTGACTCAATCCTGTCAGGGGGGATGCATTGTCCATTAGTTTCACCTGACTCGACTCAACTTGGTTTCATTCAAATAGGAAATTGAACCGACGCCACTCGACACACACGAGTTAGGCGAGTTGAGTCAAAGCTTAATCGCTGGCCGCGTCTAACGTGGCCTTGCATGTGACCCACCCAGGTTGTTGTGAGTGACCCAGCCTACGACTACCTAGCTTGTGCATGACATAGCCCGTAAGTCCCCTAATGTTACATTACCACCATTCTAGCCAATAAATTACCTGAATTTTGTTAGACCTAGCTTGTGCTTGACCTAACATTGGGCCCACCTATTCCATGAAAGGTCTAGACTGTGAGTGTCTATGTTTGTGGTCCTCTTAACCTGTGAGTGACACAGCCTCTCTCTGACGGAATCTCTTACCGATTTAACTTGAGTCTGACCTAGCTTGTGATTAACCTAGCCTTCGCGTGACCTATTTTGTGAATGACCTAGCTTGTGGCTAACCTAGCCCGTTACCAACATACCCTCTGGCTTAACAAAGGCTCTGACTGACCAAGCTTATGGGCGGGGATTGCCTTTGATTGGCCTATGTTTCAACTGAGATATTCTGTAAGGGGCCTAGCCAATAATTGACGTGGCCAATAACTGACCTGTCCAATTACTGACCTTGTCAGTGAGTAACCTAACCTTGAACTGACTCAAATTATGACCGACCTAGCCCATATTGACTCACAGGTAGGTCATGCCCGACCTAGCTTTTGAGCGACCTAGGCTGTAACCGACCTATCTGTATTGAACCCAGCTCGCAACTCGCTAGCCACCCCGTCTCGCCTCCTCCAGGTGTAATCCACCAGCGCAGGGACTCAAGTTCTCCGCCTACTTGAGCCAATGGATGAGCTAGAAAATAAGGTGGTGTTAAACGCTTCAGATCCGACTTGGGGAGATCGTGTCGTAGAGAACCAGAGCAACCTGAGTCGCACCCGTTTCGAGGCACTCCCGTCTTCTCAAGCCTGCCAATTTGCTTAGAGCTGGGTTGAATATCAAGCCGTGTTACAAGTCGATTGACTCCTTCGTTTCAAGCCACTGCTCGCACAGTTCCTCACTCTTACTGTAACATTCATATCAAACTGTTCTCCCCCACCCTATACTTTCGCACTCCCTCGTATGCTTTCTCCAGCTTCCGGATTGCTTTCTGGCATGTTCCGGTTGGTTCTACTGCCCTCGCTTACTTGCATTAATGTAAGGGTGTGACGGGAGGAGTGTCAATATCTGTTTACACACTACCTTGCCTTCTGGGTTGTTTGTGTGGGTTGATGATGACTTTGGAAGAGAGAGAGGTGTTAGAGAGAAGGCCTTAGCACCCAACCCTCTTCCTCTTCCCTCGGCCCTCTTCCTCCGAGCCTATTTAAGGGCCCTTGGTGCCTTCTTCTCCTCATTATTTCGTGTGTTCTCAGTTTCCAACGGCGGAGAGCGAGAGAGAGAAGGCCTTAGCACCCAGCCCTCTTCCTCTTCCCTCGGCCCTCTTCCTCCGAGCCTATTTAAGGGCCCTTGGTGCCTTCTTCTCCTCATTATTTCGTGTGTTCTCAGTTTCCAGCGGCTCGCGCCGACGGCCTTCGGCCGCGCGTTTCGGGGGCAAGACATTCACACAAGGAGTTGATCAAGCAAGGCATTCCAAGAAGGAAGAAATCAAGCAACGGGAGAGCATCACCTAACGATCAAGATGCAATACTACACGAGACGCCTCTCTACTGCGTGTACAGGCCAGCCCCCTCCGCCTCAAGCATCGCGAGAAGACACCCCGCCATCGCGTGGAGAAGCTCCGCCGAGAAGCGAAGAGTGTCAACAGGGGTCCCGTGCTGAGCCGCAGCGTGAAGATCAAGAGCGAGGCGGGGGAAGGTACGGGCTAAGGGCGCTACCCCGGCGGGCGCATCCGACACGGGCGATAAAAGGGGGACAATCTCTCCTGCCTAAGCGACGCACTGTCCTTGGGGCCCTTGAGCAAAACTGCTCGGTGTGTGACGCATGGCCTCACACGCCGCCAGCTGCAGGCTCGCCAGCCCCTCAGCCGCCCCCACCAAATTCCACATCCGGCACATGCTCAGCGTGGGGTCTCTCCCTGCGCGGCTGGAGAGAGGCGTAGTCGGAACTCCGCGCGGCAGAAACATCGCCACCTGGCCCGGAGTCTGACCAACCGTATTCTGAGGAGCAGGGTAACCCGGGGCTTGGCAACGTCCGTGGAACAACCCCCTCGCCGCTGCAGCTGGCAGATACTCCCGCAAGGCTAGAGCGTGCAGCGAAGCGGCTTCAACCGCAACAGGTGCGGTGGGGGGCTCAGTGGTCACAGACACGTGAACATGAGCCGCTGCCCCCGACGCTTCCACCTTCCGCACTGCATCCGCCACCATATTCCCCGCGCGGTCAGCAGTGGAGCCCTGGCCACGACTACCCCCGCCGCGCGCATAACCATTCCGCCGCCCACGACGCCCTCCAGATCCAGCCGACTGAGGACGGGGCGGGGACTGCTCACGGCGGCGAGAATCCCAACGGCCCACATGAGCCTCGCGGCCCCGACCCGGAGGCGACGGCCGCGGCGTCCGCTGCGGAGGGGACCGTTCCCGCAGGGAGCGCTTCCCCGGCGACCTCTCAAGAGAGCGGTAGCGGCGGTCGCGATGCTGAATTTCCCGCTGATATTCGTCCCATCGCCGCCGAGAGTCATGCGGCTTGGGGGCGCGACGCGCAGGGGACGCGGGTCGAGATCCACGACGCTGCGGGGACCGGCCCCGCTCCTAACGCGCCGGCAAGGCATTTGACGCGACGACTAGGGGAGCACGGGATTTCTCAGGAGACGCGTGACGATCCGCCCCGCGCAGCGGAAGAGACAACCCGTGCTCACGGCGGAAGAGACGGCGCACGGGAGCCGACGCAGCAGGACGAGCCTGCACTTGGGAATGCGGAGGCGCAGGCTCGGGGTTTGGCTGCGCAACAAGCTGAGCGCTCTCCGCGGTTGCTTCCAAGGCGCGGTCGCGACCCATGGACCCCGCCATCACGACCGAGGCGTGAGCCGAGGACGCCAGAGCCCCGTTTGGCAGGGGACGAGATCGGCAAAAACCGCACGCTTGGAAGGCACAGCCCAATCATGGGGAGTGGCACACCTGGCGGACGACGCGGAGGCGGGAGAGGACGTCGAGGAAGAGGAGCTGGGAGGAGAGGAGGCCGACGTACAGGCGCGAGCGGCTATGCGAGGACAGCAGAACGACTACTCCGGGAAGGCGCGGAAGGCGGCGAGGAAGCCGCTAGCAGGGAGGAGAGTGGTGAATCGGAGAATGACGAGAGTGACGAGGGTGACCCAGGTTTTAACCCCAAAACGGAGGGAGGTTTGGATGCTGAAGCTGATGAAGATGAGGAGGAGCTCTTGGTTCGTGGGGCTGAGTTTCCGGACCAACAAATTGGAGCTGCGTCTGCAACACGAACCCCTGCTAGGAATCGGAATGTGGGGGGAAATCAGGCCTGGAGGAGAAATCAAACCGCGGCAGAAATCACATTTGACTCTGCCGCAGCCAATAGGAACACCCCAACCCCCCCAATGATCCACCCAGGCGACTTGGCAAAACGATTGGACCTTTTCGCGCAAGTCGCTGGCTGGGACCTGGACCCACTGCGCGACAGTCGCCAGCCCCCCCTCGCCCGTCACCCGCCAAAAGACCTTCGCAAATCATTCGCAGTCTGCCTACTCACCCCACTCCTCCACCTGGCAGCCAATCCCAACTCGACCGCGGGGTGGAGGTTACTGACTTTCCTCCCGCGAATCCTCCTACGCACCACGTCAGCTCGCAAACCAGACTGGAACGCGATGATGAATCGCCTCCTCCGTTTCCGCCAGGGATTCTGGTCTGGCCTGTATGACAAGGCAGTTGAAGCAATTTCCCTCCCAGCCCAGCCACGTCACGTACCTGACACTCAGGGCATCCTTGCCAGAGCGGAGGGACTGGCCAAGCGTGGTAACCTGGCCAAGTCACTACAGTCCCTCCAAGCCACTCCAGTCTCACCTGCCTCCCCCGAAGTGTACGCGGCATTAGCAGCTCGACACCCGCAAGCACTCCAGCCCTTACCAGAATGGATACGCACCTTCTCCCCCAAGAAAACCCCTTCGATTGAGCCGCGCGACTTCAGGCGCATCGTAGCCAAACTCCCAAACGGGGTGGGAGCAGGGCCCTCAGGCACAACCTTCGAGCACATACGCGATGCTGCACTCGGAAATCCAGACATCTTCGCCCATCTTCTCGCACTTACCAATACAGCTATAGCCGGGAAACTCAGCAGCGAGGCCACCGAGCTCCTCACAGCCTCACGGCTCTTGGCCTTCACAAAACCGCAGGGGGGGACTCGACCGATAGCCATGGGCGAATGCCTTCTTTGCATTGTGGCCAAGGCAGCACTGTTCCTGACTAGGGCGGCGGCACGACCACACTTCGCGCCTCTACAATTCGGGGTAGTAGTGGCTGGAGGGATTGAGGAGGCCATTCACACTGCGCGCACATACCTGGAGGAGAACCCGGGCTCGGTGGCGCTGCAGATTGACCTCGCCAACGCGTTTAACGCGGTGGAAAGGGCGGCGGTATTCGAGGGGCTCAAGAACGAGTCCCTTGAAAGCCTTCTGCCCCTTGTCTGCCTCTCCTATGGAACTCCCTCAGCACTCCACCTCGACCACGACTTCGGCGTGGCTCCACTGCTAAGTGCTAGAGGCGTCCGCCAGAGGGACCCTCTTGGTCCCTTGCTCTTTGCGGCAAGCATCCACCCACACCTTACCGCAACGGCACTAGCTCACCCAAGGGTCGTCATTCTCGCCTATGCAGACGACATAACGCTGCTAGGCGAGGCAGAAGCGTGCACGGCGGCATTTACACACCTCACTGCCGCACTGATCCACATAGGCCTCGAGCACAACCTTGGGAAGTGTGAGGCTTGGTCTGCAGCCGCCATAGACCCCGCCTCTCTCCCTCCGAGCTTCCCCATCGCAGCAGACGGACTGCGGATATTAGGAAGCCCAATCCGGACCTCAGATGGCTGTGCCGCCAGAGTGAGGGAAAGGCTTGCAGCAGCAACAGAACCCTTGCCGCTCCTGGCCCAAATGGACCCCCAATTGTGCCTGCTGCTACTCACCCGCTGCGTGGCCAGAACCACTCCGCTAGAGGCACTACCTGAGGAGGAATGGGCGGCATGGGGGGAGCAATTGCTGCATACCTTCCTGGACGCGGCCCATATCATGCTGCCAAGGAGTGACGCGGAACAGAGGAGAACCTGGAGGCAGGCGGCGCTGCCCGTAACATTGGGGGGGCTTGGCATTACAAATCCTGCAGTTGAAGGGAGCTATGCATACCTTGCGTCGGTGGTGGGCACCTCCAACTTACTGCACTCCCTGGCCGAGGCACTCCACCCAGATGTAGCAGCCCTCCTCCCCCTAATGGACCCCACCTCCGGCTCCGCGCACGCACTACCTGCACGCCTTGCAGCAGCGGAAGCAGCCCTCCCCCCCGAGGCTCTAGAAGCTCTCCAAGCCGGGAAAGCAGACCCACAGGGCCTTAAGCTGCAGCAGTCTCTAGCGCTGGCGATTCAGACACGCCGCTTCCTGAGGGTCATGAACGAGGCAAGGCGGATGCGCCCCAACCTCCTCTCTGGCCATGCCCAGAGAATGCATTCGGTGCTCGGCCCTGGTGCGGGAGATTGGCTGCTGGCACTACCCATCATACCCTCGCCCAGGATGGGACCCTCCCAGCTTTCCTCCGCTGCAGCGTTCCGCCTGGGCCTCCCCCTACCTGTCCCCAGGAGCTACGACTGCCTCTACCGCACCAAATTCCCTGATAAACCATCTCATGCGCTGCGAGAAAGGGGGGGGAAGGATTGCGACTCACCATGCGCTCAGGGACGAGATTGTTTTGATTGCGGCAGAGGCGGGATTCACGGTGCACAAAGAAACCTATGTATACTCTCTCATTGAAAACCTGAAGGCGGACGTCACGATCCGCCATCCCTGGACGGGAGAGGTATGGATGTGCGACGTGACAGTGACGGACCCCGTTTCTCACCAAGATGAGAACTGCAACAGAGCACCGGGGTGGGCGGCTAGGGCAGCGGCGGACAAGAAGGAGCAGAATTACACGCGCCGGAATGCGTGGGTGGGCTTTCATGCCCTAGCGGTAGAGACATATGGGTACCCCTCGCCCGGGGTGTTGGCATTCTTGCGGCAGTGCGCGGAGCTGGCGGCCAAGTTGCGATTCAACGCAGCCCCCAACTCCTACGAGGCCGCCAAGTTGCTGACGGAATACCGCCAGCGCTGGAGCGTGTGCCTCCAAAAAGCACAAGCCCACGCCCTCCGCTGCAAGACCAACGAGGTGATAGCAGCGGACGAGCTCGGCATGTGGGGCCCCTTTGCCCCCCTTAGCGAAGGCCAGCTCTACCAGCTAATAGAGCCCCCGTTCGACCTTTAGGGTCAGACGGAGGGGGCGGGAAGGAGTAAGGGAATGAGGTAGTTAGGTAGACCGAGTGTTACGTCTGGGTTTGCATGTGTTTGCATCTTCCAATGTATCTCCCATCAATCAATACGAGGACCACTCGAGAGGTGTTAGCCTTCTGCTCTCCGCATTAGCCCTCAGTCTCCCTATTCCTCATTTCATAGGCCGTGCTGTGGGGACCTTCCATTCCTCATTTCTTTCTCCTTCACGGCTCGTGAGTCGAAGTGAACACCACTTCACATCACTACCCTATACAATCGCTTTCAACTCGTGAGCCAGAGTCTGCAAGTTTTCATCCTTCACCTAGTGCCTTGCTGCAACCATTTGTGCTGGTGTCCATTTTTCGGCAGTCCATGCCCGCATGTTGTGCCCTTCTTTCTTCTACTCTACTCTCTTTTGATACTCCTCCTGGCGTTCCCTTGTTCCATTGCAAACTCACTTGTTGCCAAATGCACGTGCATGCACATGCATGCCCGCTCATGTCTGTCCAGTTATGCTTTTGATCCGTTCCCTCATACCTTGTCATTAGACGCCCCTCGTCTTATGCTCCTTAGCCCTTATGTGATTGGTGTTGTTTGTGTGTGGCACTGCTCCCACTTCTCTTTTTACACTGTTTGCTTCACCAGTCAAAGCGACAGTTGATTGTAGGGCTCAGTGAGTTGTTTTGACGAGGGTCCTTTCAAGGGAGTGAGTGGATGAGATGGCTGCTGAGAGAGCTCTGCGTGGGCTGAATGAGTTGATGAAAGAGACGGTGCTGGCAGCAGTGAGAGAGGAGCTGGCTGCACACAAGGAGGAGGTGGATGAGCTGCGGCACATGCTGGCTGTTATGAGAGAGAGGAATGACGCGGCTGCTGTGTTGGAGAGGGAGAGAGAGTTCGTAGTAGTGAAGGAGGAGTTGGAAGCAGTGAAGGGGGAGTTGGCAATGGTGAAGAAGGAGCTGGCAGTGGTGAAGGGGGAGCTGGCATAACACAAGACTGCCACGACAGAGAAATTTGCTGAGAGTGGTAGGGCATTGGGTGTAAAGGGGCTGAGAGGGAAGAGTAGAAAGAGAAGGCAAGAAATGCCAGCGGAGTGTGCACGAGAGGAGAGGAGGGAGGTGCAGGAGTTGAATACTCTACGTGCCATGGAGGAATCGGCAGCGTGCAAGGAACGGCACATCCAAGACATGAAGAATCTCAAACGGATGATCAAGCTGAGCATAGGCGATCAGAAGACTGCATGGCGGGTGAGTGCTGACTGGATTGTTCCATGGGGCGTACATGCTTGCTACCACTTTCTTAACACCGTGGTCATCCATTCCCTTGTCTTGTTTTGCTTCTGCATCCATTTCTTCCAGGCAATCAAGTCAGCATCACAGACGTCCGATCTGAACTTGAAGTATCTCCGCTTCCTCTCATAAGACATCATCCACCATGCGTCCACAATGACGCATCTGACGCGCCTTAACTTGGACTCTACCTCAGGCTTGAGTGCAGAGGGCGTCAAATATTTTTACGGGCTGTCACGGCTGGAGTCGCTAAATTTCAACCACACAAACGTCTCAGATGGTGCCTTGGAAGGCATCGGGTCCTTGACCAGTCTCAAGCACCTCTATCTCTGGGAAACCAAGGTGACCGATGCTGGTCTGCCACACTTGACAAATCTCTCCTCTCTCAAGGTTCTCTCACTTGGTAAATGCGAGGGTGTGACAGATGCTGGCATCGTGCATGTGGAGAGGGTGACAGGGCTTGAGTGCCTTGTTTTGAGTGACACGGCAGTCACGAATGATGGGCTACAACAGCTGAGTGCCTTGACCAAGCTGACAGAACTCTGGCCGGCAAAAGGCAGGGACCTTAAGAACGATGATGTGCACAGATGGATAGGCAGGCAGGGTGGCAGGGCAATGAGTGATCATGAAAAGGGAGGTGAGTTGAGGGAGACTTAGGGTAGTTAGGCAAGGGTTGAAGCACTTGGGTGGGTGTGCATGTGGAGAAGTGATGCATGAAGGAAGGCTGCATGAGCCATGCTTTGGGTGCAGGCTGTATACGGTAGATGGGAAGTGATGTGTACGCACGGCAGCGGCTGGCCTCCAGGCCCTCAGATTCGTTTTTGGCCTGTCTGATTCGTCAGACTAGTACCGTCAGCCCCCGGATAGAAGCGCCCCTAGGGGTATAAAAAAACACTGTTTTTTAGGGGGTGCGCTTATAATTGAGGAATTTTATAAGCGACGACGCTTATAAAATGGCAAAAATAGTATATATTTGTTTTACACCAAACTGTATATCTCATGTCAGAATTATATTCTTATACCTGCATGTAGTTCTAGCTGTAGTGTAGATATGAACTTTATAGGTGGTGCACCTCTTTCTTCACTTGTTTGCTATATGTACTCTCTTGCTATAGTGAACAACCATTCCCAACTTTCTCGACTTTCCTTTGGCACAAACCTCTCGACTTCCTTGTGGCCTAGGCTACTAAGCTTAGGCCACCCTAAATCTCAACTACCTATTAAGCTAGTGTTGTAACATGGAATCTGAGCGAGTTACGTCCTGGCCTGTGGGCCCGCCCCACGCTTCCGCTGCTGTTTTTACGGTCGCGCGCCTCGGGCGCGTGGCGATTTTCATCCTGTCCCGCCCCTGGGTGGCGAGTGACGTCTTTTCTGCCCGTCGCGCGCCCCGTGGCACGCGACGGTGCCCTGCCCGTCGTGCGCCCCGTGGCACGCGACGGTGCCCTAAACCTGCCCGTCGTGCGCCCCGTGGCACGCGACGGTGCCCTAAACCTGCCCGTCGTGCGCCCCGTGGCACGCGACGGTGCCCTGCCCGTCGTGCGCCCCGTGGCACACGACGGTGCCTTGCACCTGCCCGTCATGCGCCCAGTGGCACGCGACGGTGCCCTGCCCGTCGTGCGCCGCGTGGCATGCGACGGTGCCCTAAACTTGAACTTGCCCGTCGTGCGCCCCGTGGCACGCGACGGTGCCCTGCTCGTCGTGCGCCCCGTGGCATGCGCGACGGTGCCCTTGAGCCGCCGCGGAACCGCCCCTGGCGCCTGCGACGGTGTCCTGAACCGCCAAGTACCCGCCCCTGGCGCACTCGGCGGTGCCTCTGCTTCACCCCGCGCCTGCACTCCCTGCAGCCGCCCCCGACCTATCTGCGCCGACCCTATGTAGCCGCTCTGCGGCTTTCTTCCCGCCCACCCCCTCCTCCTTCACCTACCTGCAGCCGTGGGGGGGAGGGTATGGGGGTGACGGGTGTTGGAGTGTTGGGTAGTGTGCTTCCCTTCCCCTCCTCCTCCTTTCGTTCCCACTGCTGCAGCTGCCGCTGGGGGGGAGGGTGTGAGGGTGTGGGGGAGCTGGGGGAGTGGCACTGGGGTGGCGGGTGTGAGACCATCCAGCAGCCGTCCCTCCACCTCTCCTCTCTTCCCCCCTCTGCTGCTCCTGCAGCAGTGTGGGGGGGATGGGGAGGGGGAGGGTGAGGAGATGGAGGGGGTGACCAGCCAGAGCCAGCCCGCCTCCTCACTCTCCCTGCTGCCCGTCCTATGGTTGGGGGGGGAGAGGGTAAGGGGGTGGCAGGAATTGCTTGCTGTCGACCTGCTGTACCTGCTCTGTTACTGTACCTGCTGTTGCTGTTTTATCAGTCTGTGGTGTACCCCTGCAGGTTGTGTTTTGCACTTAGCTATTCCTGCATGCATTTACGGGGGGATGTCAGAATTATATTCTTATACCTGCATGTAGTTTTAGCTGTAGTATAGATATGAACTTTATAGGTGGTGCACCTCTTTCTTCACTTGTTTGCTATATGTACTCTCTTGCTATAGTGAACAACCATTTCCAACTTTCTCGACTTTCCTTTGGCACAAACCTCTCGACTTCCTCGTGGCCTAGGCTACTAAGCCTAGGCCACCTTAAATCTCAACTACCTATTAAGCTAGTGTTGTAACATCTCGTTTTGCCGATTGTAATCGAGTCGAAACCATATAGGGTCGCGAATCTGATTCTCGCGCAGCTTGGCAGGGAGTGATTCCCTGCCAGCTCACCCTGACAGAATTACAGCACATGCTCACTAGACGTGCAAAAAGTGAGTTCAGAGTGTGGGAAATCGAAATTGTAGTTCGTTTCCCTGATTATGTGAAATTTGTTTCTGAAATTTGAAAGGTTTTCAAATGAAAAACAAACATGCGCTTATAATATATCATCTTTTTCTATGGGGTGCGCTTATAATCGAGGACCGTATATAAGCGCCCTCAACATTTTATAAGCGCCGGCGCTTATGCGAGGCCTGCGCTTCTATCCAGAGGCTTACGGTACACAGTTTTAGTCTGAAAATCTCAGACTTGGTATAGAAAAAAGGCTGAAATTTCAGAGTGTCTTAAAACAAAAGACTGATCATTCAAAATCAATATATTCAATGTTTCATCGGAAGTGTATTCAATGTTTCATTCATCTGCTATCGAAACATGCTCTGACAGGGCGAATACTGTCAGCCCCCGGATAGAAGCGCCCGTGGGGTTATAATAAAACACTGTTTTTTAAGGGGTGCGCTTATAATTGAGGAATTTTATAAGCGCCGGCGACTATAAAATGTCAAAATTGAAATGGTTTTTTTTTCCATGTGTTTGAAGCTTTTTCAAACGGGGATTCAATCCACACCTAGAACGTTCGAGTTTGTGCATAAAACACGCGTCAAATTGCCAACAAGGCGTGGAATCACGCCCGCCACGCCTTGCTCGCCTGGCCAGATTCATCGTACCGAATCTGGCCCATGCCAACGCACACGCAGTTTAGTGTGCGTCTGCCCAATCAGGGCCGACTATCGTGCTAGCCACGACGCAGTACAACCACAAACGGGGCATATGCGGCAAGATTCCTTGCCAACAACGCTTGGACCTCACCAAATCAGCTCCTCTGCAGGGAGATCTTGACTGTTTCTCCCCTTAGCCTGCAGAGGAACCCGGGCCGCGAAGTTGTAGGGGTCTCGGGCAAGGGTTTCAAACAGGCGTCATTCTCCCTGTTTGTTTTCAGATTTCTTGTTTCCCATCGGCCTGCCTTAGCCATGGCGGGCCTACCAGGCACCCATTTCCTCTTTAGGCGCCGAGGTGCTGCTGACAAAGCTCCCGATTACTCCCAGTGGCAGAGTCGTCCAGCGCCAATACCTCCTACTCCTCCTGCGCCTCCTGCTCCTCCTGCGCCTCCTGCACCTCCAGCGCCTCCTGCTCCTCCCGCTCCGCCTAACGTCGTCATCAACGGTGTGCATGTTTTGCAGCTTCTCCCTCGCGGCTACTCTGCTTTCGATGCGTACATCTCCGAGCCCGAGCACGAGCCCGAGCGCAGCGACGAAGATGAAACCTGTCCCGGTCTTTCGCCACGTTGGGGAGAACCAGAAGACTGCCCGCACGACGAATCCGCCACCGGTGCCGAAGACGATGTTGAGTGGTGGGTGGCTGACGGTCTTCCCGAGGACTTGCCTGTCCCAAGTTTTCCCCCGCCCAATAAAAAAAGGCCCCACCCCTGCACCCAGAATCGTGATTCCCGCCCCCCGTTGTGAAGAATAGAACGAGAATGAAAGGAGGGAAGAGGGGTTTTCACTAGCAGCAGTTGGGATACATATAGCAGACCCTAACTGGGTTGTACCCGCTATAGAGCACCCCACTACAGGCTAGATAATAACATTCTGACACACCCCCATAGCCAAAGTGGGGTGTAATCAGCACAATGAGCAGGTATAGAGCAATAGTGCACAATAATAAGTAAAGCTAGAGGCTATCACAGAGGGCAAGGGAGGAGGAGAAGAGACTGTGGGGGAGAGAAGATGGTGGGCGGCAGCTGAAGCTGTTGGCACACGGCGCAACTGGAGCAACTGGCACACGGGCTGCTGGAGCAACTGGCACACGGGCTGCTGGAGCAACTGGCACACTGGCAACTGGAGCAACTGGCACACGGGCAACTGGAGTAACGGGCTCCGCAGCTAGACGAGCGGCAGGAGCAACTGACCC